AGCATAACATGCGAGAATCTAAATAAAGACTCATGCGCTTTCGCAATATCGAGTACCGGAAAACGTTGCGTCCTAGAGAAATCTCTCCGACGGAGCGGTGAACAAGTATATACATGTCGAACATCAGAAATTGAGGCCGATAATAAGCTCAAAAATCGAATTGAAACCGATAATTGCATCCAATCGTGCGGCGTCAATCGGAATACCCTCGGAATTTCTTCGGATTCTCTCTTGGAATGCCATTTTACAAAGAAGTTGTGCTCACCTGAATGCTACAAACATTGCCCTAATATTGTTGATCTCTACTTCAACCTTGCTGCTGGTGAAGGTAGTTAATCTACTATTTACTCTGCACTGTTCAATTTATGTGATAGTATTTAACTGTATATAGAATTTAACTCGTAGATATTTATGTGGCAGTTAATCACCTCACTCAGAGTAAAATATTATAAGTCAAACAATTAACAATACTTTCTTTCAATTTATGTGACATAATTTATTAACAGAGAATCAAAGAAAAAAACAAGATTTTAAAAAGTTATTCTAAACATGTCATAATATTTGTATAACTTATAAAACTTTTTTTCTTTAAATACATCATAACAGAGCTATAATAATCAAAAAGTTAAAATGAGAAATTAGGTAAAACTAATTATTTTTAAATATATAAATATGTCATTTCTTTGATTGACAGGTGTATATCTTCCGAGGTTATGCGAAGAACAAGGTGGAAATGGACGCCGTGGAATGGCAGAGATTAGAAGCTCGGGAATAGTTGCACCAGCACCGGAAATGGGAGTGAAGTCCGCCAATTTTATGATTTCTCCGGCAATGTCTCCTTTCTAAATTCAAAATTAGAGCGTATAAATAAATATAACTATATAAGACTAAGAACATGATAGACAAGTTAAATTATTACTCTCATTGTATGAAATAAGGACTTTGGTATCCCAATTACCATATGAGTAGTTTTTTTTTTTTTAATTCATGTTACTATTACTATTTTAATGTTATAGTGTTAGGTCACGAAGGTCTAGAGTGTGTTTTTTTTTTGCCTTCTAAGAAATTATATGATGTGTTATGTTATAGATTAATAAGAAGAATCGAAAGACACTTTATAATGTTAGAAGAATTTTAGTTGTTGGCCTTTGTGAATTTTATGCGTTCTCTTTAGGTTAACAAATCTGAGCACCGTTTATGTATATCTTCTTTTAATTTATTATGAATTACTTACTAATAATATTGTCATTTTCATTGTCTTGTACATAAGGTATACTATTGGTATCATAATCAAATCTTATCAAAACAAATAAGGCTAACAATAAGGAAAAAGAGAACTATGTAACCACCCAAGGCGAATTCAGGATTCGAAGACTTTGAGTGCACCAATATCACTTTAGCTCAAATATGAGCTCTAAGATAAACTTAAAATATAGCATTGTAGCTAGAATCAAATCCGAGTCTCATGGGTTGTTATTCTAGCTAGTACCAGCAGGACATTAGTGGCAAATCTATACTCCTCATGGGTGCACAATTAATTATATCCTAATTTATATCAATTTCTCAAGATGAATATACACCTATACACATGATTTTTTTCGAAGTTAACGGATGCACGTGCACCCCACCCTATAGGGTGGATTCGCCTCTGTTGTAACAAATTAAAGACTTATTCCACTGTAATTGTAAAAAAACAAAAGTTTCTAAATCAGAATTTAGAAGTTTTTCACGTATCATACATTTTAATTGTGGAACGTGCTCATACTTCCTTCTCATTATATCAATAGTCAATATTGATATAATGACATTCACTATTATTCATAATCATCCTTAACCATGTCCTCCGATATCATTGAAGAAAAGAAAGACCTTTTGATCTCACTAAATACATTAAATTCTTAATAATTATTTGAGTCAATGATCAAAAACAGTACACCTAAATTATTCTAGTATTTTGAGTTACACATATGAACTGTTGAAAATGTGAGTTTCTTTACCTGTATTATCACTCAATAGTTAGCAAAACACACCTCGACTAATTAAAAAAATTAATGTGTCAGCAAATAGAGTCATTATATAAATATATGTCAGGTGGACGAAGATTTTATGAACAAACGCATCTAGAAGCGTTTCTATAAACAAACATTTAATTTGGTCTAGTCAATGTTTAAGTGTGTTTCACTAACCATTCAGGACACTTCAAGTACGAAACTCACATTCAATAATCGAAGTATGAAACTAAATAAAATGAAATAGTTAGCTATGTTTTTTTATCCTTTTAACTCTATTTATTTTGTAAAGGTAAGTAATATATTCAAAAGATAAACAACTTAGCACTATGGTGGTACTTGGCACTTCTCCTAATCCAAAAACGATATTTATTTGTTTTTCTCATTTTAATTATATATTTAATTATTTGAACTAAAATAATTAGGTTCAATTAGATCTCCATTAGTGGAGAGAAAATAATAGTTATAGAAATAATATCATTTCAATTTTTGCCGCAAAATTCCTCTATTTTCCTTTTGCTAATCTTCAACCTGTTGAAATGGAAAGCATGCCGTTTGATGATCGAGTAGGACATGAAAACACAAACTACACTCGATGACCTCCTAGAGGAATATAGCAATTTCTTTTTATGATATTTTAGAATTTTAAATTAAATTACTTAAAGTTTATTATTAATTAATAAAGTTTTTGAAAATAAATATCAAGTTATGTATTGCAACAAATGTCAATAATTTTATTAACTTATTCAAAGAATCTTTCTCAAGTTATATAATAAAATATACTGATTTTTCACCTATAGAGTTTTATGAACTATAAACACATATGAAATACTTGTTTTCTAATATTTTTAAAAGGCAAAATTTCATTAAAATACAAGTAACTAATTTATCTTGCAAAATAATAGTTCAAAAATTACATTATAATTCTATAGCCCAAAATTTTTGCACTCCTTTATCAAAAGAGATTAACTTCTCTCCACTAACAGTGGACAACAAAATTACACCGCCAGTTCCTTTTTAGAAATACTAATTTCTTTTAATTTAATTATTATATTTTTACATTTAAAGATTTATGATTTTTCAGCTTCTCTTTTTCTTTACATTTTTTATTTTTTAAAACAAGTTTTTTTTTGAAAGAACGTTCAAATATTTTTGATACTATCAACTTTAAGTATTATTTAAATAAATTGGAGCACATATGATAGTATATGAATCAAAGTTTGTTTTAAATTAATTTTTGTATTGTTGATTGAATGAACTAAGAAGACAAACTATAGTCTGAAGCAATAGAAGCATCAATCCAAAAAGTTTTTGTGTTGAAAAGAACACTTAATAAGATATGATTAATTATTTATAAGATTAATTAGTCTAAATTTTTTTAAAAGAAGAAAAGGAGTAAAAAGTTATTTGATGATTGTCTCAAATTGCTTCAATGGTGTTGATGAAGAACGAGGTGAAAATAACGAGGACAAGAAAGTGGTGAAAGAATCCTTCTTATTTTTGACAACCAAATAAGAATCTTAAACAAACTCCTATAATTAATTTAGAGTTTAAGTTACCATATAATACTTTTTAAATTATTTTTATTTAAATATTTATAATATGTGAACATATTAAAGGAAATAAATATTTCTAAAAATAAACCGACAGTGTAATTTTGTTGTCCAGTTAATCTCTTATAAAAAATGGAACTTAACTGGGATTAATTAACGATTTTAATTGATTTCTAGATTTGAACTTGTGTGCATTTTATGTCCATTTTCGCCGGTCACTTCTTCATTAGAGACGGCAACTGCTGCTATTTGTTGTTGTCATCTGTCTTCGTCGAAGACATAGTGGATGAGGGAGATGAGAGAGGGGGCTGGGGTTTCGCGACTGGTGGTTCGCTGGTATCCTTGGCTAGGCTTGCTTTGCCTGAGCTCACAGGTCGAAGCACCGGAGCGGCGGTGTTCTCGCCAAAGAAATAGAGAAGAGAAGGGGTTGATTTCGCCGTCGAACGACATTATATTTTCCTCGCCGGGAAAAGGAGATAAGAGAGGACAAAGTGGAGGGGAGAATAATGTTAGTATTAGAAACTAGAAAGAAGAAAGGATAATAAGGTTCAACATTAGTTCTTTTTCATTCATTATCATATTTCAAAAGGCATACACACATATATCTACACAAGCTTTTCCAAAGTAAGTAGAGGACCATACATATCCAGCCACTATTGATTTTCTTACAAAACATATTCCATAAAACAAGGACTACCTTTCCTTTACATACTAAACATAATATTTAAAAAGAACCATTAAACAAAAACCATCTAGAAATATCTCATTTTCTAACACTCCTCCTTGAGATTTTTCTTAGATACTCCCAACTTAGCTCTTAGAACTTCACATTTCCCCTTAGGAAGAGTCTTGGTCATGATGTCTACAATCTGCTGATCTGAGCTGCAATGAACCAGTTGAACTTCACCATCCTTCTTTGCTTGCATGATAGAGTGAAACTTCACATTTATATGCTTGCTACGACCATGTTGCACTAGATTTTTGGCCATAGATATTCACTACAAAAAAACAGTGTTTAGCGACGGAACTCTAGCGACAACCACAATTTTGTCGCTGCCTAACGACGAATTAGCGACAAAATAACTCATATGTTGCTAAATAAATAAAAATAATAATAGTATCCACACTAACGACACATTAGCGATGGATTAGCGACGGAAACCAAAATTTATTGCTATATTTGGGTGCTAAATATTGGCGCCTTTATTTTGCCTATAAAAACGACGACGTAGGTTAGCAAGAATTTTTCGTTGAAACCTAGCGACGGATTTTGCAACGATCTGTTTGTCGCTAAACTGAAAAAAATAATTTAAAGACTTAGCAACAAAAATAAATCGTCATTAGTTATTTATTCTTTAATAACAAATATATATATAAGCGATGAATATATATATCCATAGCTAAATGCGTCGCTACTATCAATTAAATATTAGGGAAATATTTTTATTATATTTTATCTTTCTATTCCCAAACCCTAAGATACCATCTTCACCAAACACTCTTTTGAAACTAGAGATGAGAATGAGAGACCATCTTCATGACTGATTTTGTTCACTTCGACGACTGATTTTTTTCACTCCGACGAATGAGACTCAGAAGCTCACCATTTCAGTTTTCTCTCCGATGACGATTTGTTTCACTCGCAGAACCTAATTTTACGATTTCACTTGCAGAACCTAATTGTTCAGGAGCTCAGAAGTAAGTCTCAAATTTCTAATTTTACGATTTCAATGTGATGTTTGGGTTTGAATTCTGAGAAAACCTAAACTTACGATTTCAACCTATGTTCACTCGCAGAACCTAAACTTAAACTTAAACTTACGATTTCAACCTAAGTTCACGATTTTCCTCATTCGTTAATGGGCTCAATTATTTTTATGGTTTGAAATTTCTGAATTTCAAGATGAAATTTTCAACGTAGTTACTTGGTTTGAGGCATTTGGTTTAGTTCCTAGAACTTAGAAGGCTCAGCACCAGTGGCGGATTCACGATTTAGAGTTTGTGGGTGTCAAATAGACTTATTGATTAAATTAATTTTATATTTGATTAAATTATTCGTCTTTTTGATATATATAATAAATCAATCAATAAAATATAAATAATAAGATATTACAAATTCATACTCTACACAAAAAGCATGAAGTTAACAAATTAAAACTTTCAATAACATTACTAATATTATAAATATTCATCATTCATTTACAATTGTCCTCGACGAGTTTTCATATTCTGAAAATGATCGATAATGACATCATTACTAACATTTATAAATACATCATGCTCTATGTAACACACTAGACAATCATTTAAATATTGATTATCAATACTATTCCGCACTTCATTTTTTATGTGCTTCAGTGACGAAAATGCTCTCTCCACAGTTGCCGTAGCAACAGGTAAAATCAAAGTCAACTTTACAAGTAAATAAGCAAGTGAAAAGTCAAAGGAGTAATAATGTAATTAATTTAATTTAAGTTAATAACAATTATAAAAAAATAATAATAATGTGCCAGCTGTTTTTCCTTTAAAAAACGTGCTTGGAGCCTTTTTTTTCTTAAAAAACATCTGCAGCAAATTTCTCAAAAAAGTAGGTACAACTGGGATTCAAACCCGCAACATCAGCCTTCTAAAGTTGTCCTTCTACCGTGGCACCACAAGCCAGCTTTGTTCTCTTGGTGACACGCTTTATATTTATGTAAATATTATATAGATATACCTATGTATATATAGAGTTTCCGTCGAAGTTCGGGGGTGGCGTGGCACCCCCACACCCCTTCATAGATCCGCCCCTGCTCAGCACTGTGCTCACATTTTACTCTCTTCTCATAAGCTCCATAGTTCGCTCAGTCGCTCACTACCTCAATTTCACTCTCAGGCTCACATTACACTCTCAAAATCTGAACTTTGCTCAGGTGCTCACAGTTTCACTCTTAGAATCAGAACACTGCTCAGGTGCTCACGATTTCTCATTCTTTGCTACTGGTAAGTCTAAATTACACTTTAATTTCATGATTTCACTGTGACATTTTGATTTCATTTATGAGAAAACTACAGTTGAATTGGCATATAATTTGGCTTTCGCTTTTTTTTTTTTTGTGTGGGGGAAATCATTTACTTGATTAAGTAGTTATTAATTTTTTTACTTGAATATGAACTATTAGTACTATGTTGGACTTGATTTTCATTTTCAAGTTATGTAACATGGTGACAACTTAATATTCAAATTGTGATGTTGTAGTGGTGCAGCATATAGTGCTGCTGTTTTATTTAGTTAGTTTGATATGATATTTATGTTGAGCATATTGTGGTTCAAGTAGCCTTGTTATGTTGTTACTGTTGTTAGGAACTTGATAAATTAGGAAGCATACAAGGCTTGTAGTGTTGTTACTGCTGAGTAGCCTGATTGTATGTCTATAATCTATTTCATAGCGTTGTTGTGTTGTTCCCTTTCTTTTCCTCTGGTCCTTATATAATTATCACTTTCCCATTTAGTGGAAGTTTCAAAGAAGATTTCTTCCATTACAATGGATGGGAGGGTCAAGGAGGAAAGTTGATCTTTGTTTGAATTATTTGGTTAATTGGAAAATTGAGTTTAGGCTGCCTGTCTTAGAGTTGAGAAATTCTAGTCTAAATTTGGAACCAGAAGTGGTCCTTCGTGTAACATTTCAGAAGTAATGGGCGACTGCCTGAGAACTAGAGCAAAAAGTGATGTCCCTCAGGGTTCCAACTTTCTGATCCAATGTTAAGATTTGTGTTGTAAATCCGAACATTTTTTATGATTGTAGATTAGCTTACCATTGAAGATGAGCTTGATCTTTTCAATTTAGCTTAATTATTTTTTATCATACAACGTTGTATCAATATCTCAATCTCAGCACTTGTATACATTATGTGTTAACAAAATGATGAGAATAGTCCTTAATTTGTGGGGGTCTTAAATACGTTCTGATTGGTTTTCTGATTTTGATAAAATGTCATCTAATTTGAACCAAAATAAGGTTGGTTTTTCTCTTTTTGATTTGTTTGGTGTTTTGGTTTGGTATTTCTCAGTTTTTTCATCTGCTTTGGTAATTAAAAGGTATTTATTTTAATTCATCTTGAGATTCTGGTAGGATTGTTTTATGAAGTTGGGGGAATTTTGCTTGTTTCAACTTTCATTGGGAAATCATCAACCTGTCATGACTACTCTACTTTATTAACAAAGGAAGTTAAGTTTCAGTACCTTGTTCACGGTCCCTATGCATATATAGCGAGTATTTTCATCTTCATAATGTATGTCGTCCATTACAATGTTGAGAGCTTTTTTCCTCAATTTTTTTTCCAGTCTAATGCATAAACATAGGTTCGATGAGCTTGTTAAGAGATGCCCAAAGGATATCTTGTACTAAAGGGTGAGTGTAGTAGACGTCTTCCTGTCGAAACACTACGTATAAGGGACTAGAAACACAAAGTATGTGCCTTCAAATTGCAGTCATATTAACCTTTGCACATTCATTGCGTGCTTTATTCTAGTTTATTTCATGATAAGGGACTGTGAAGAGCTCCTTTCTCAAAGATGAAACTGTGAAGAATATAATAAGTGTTTCTGAAAATGAATCATTGAATTGTAGTACCTATCTACAACTTACAACACGGTTTTACACCTTAATTAGCATTTTCGGGAAATAAAAGAACAGGTTGCCATTTTTCTAAAGATTGGTTGACTATAACTCTATAAGGGTCACGTAAACAAGCAATGGAAACAAAAGAATAGACTGCCTATTTTGCTATTGTTTTTCATATTTTTTTTGCTGTAGTTTTTGTGAAAATCTAGTACTGTTTTAGTGTGAATCTGGTGCAATTAGTGTGTTATAGTTTTGATTCTTGATACCCTATTTGGCCATTTACATATTATCATCTTCTTATAATTTGATATATCATACTAAATCAAAAACCGTGACTTCATTTATTTTCCAGTTATGAATTTAGAAAAATGATGAGAGCTATGTTACTGTTCCTTTTAAGTTCTTAGAACATATACCTTGACTACTAGACCTGGTACAATTGGTTCATAGCATGAGAAGTTAACATCACATAGTTAAAAGTACAATAGACACAACTTTCAACTACTGATTCACAACGATGTCTTGGGAAATGTACAAATACTAAGGAAAAATATCGGTATCTAAAGTAACCTTGCAGAGGGCTGTGTATAGCATTCTAAGATCTCAATGCAAGAAATCAATCAGACCTATATATAACCTCATTGCAGTGGCTTGTAGACTTGCTTTTCTTTTTGTCATATGCTTGAATCATTTTCGTTATAGGGATATCTCTAAAAGAAGTGATCAAAATTCTATTTTTGTATAGGCTGTTGAAATGGGTCGAGATCCAACACCAACTGAGTTACATCTGCACGTTCATGCACATGGTCACAATGAAAGCAGTTTTTTTTTTAAAATTTATAAAATGTCTGACAGAAGTTCTTGCAATGAGAAAACACGAAACTTGATCTATTTTGTGGTCAATGGAGCTATTTAGAAATTAAGTTAGTGATTTTGAGTCTTTTATATTAGATGTTCTGTTTCTTTTTCGTCTCTGCAAGATTATGCTTCCCAAGCATTAGATTTTGGGATTTACCTTGTAAAAGTCAGGCTAAATTGGACATTAAAGAACAGCCTTGAATTTTATAAACGTCCGATAAAAGTGCCTGCAATGGAAAAGCACTGAACTTGATCTATGTTAGGTCGACGAGGCTATTTAGAAAAGTAACTTAGTGGACTTGGAGTGGTTTACATTAAATTTGCAGTATCTTTTTCTTGAATCTTTTACAACAAGGAGATTTTGTATCTGAGATGCCAATATGCTAGAAAAGGGTGGGTTCATTCTAATGAAAGGTTCGAAATTTAAATGACTCATTTTTCTGGTTGGTTTGGATTAGTTTTAGGAAAGGTAATAGGTCCGAGTGGGAATTCTTCTAACTCATTAGAGTTGAGTAATAAAGATTAATGTATGCCGCAGATGGATCTAGAATGGTTTATTTTGATTTTTATGTCACATCTCTTGTTCTTCTTACCAACTCTGCATAGGAAACAACCTTTGATATTCACCTTATAGACCTTTAAGTCTTTGAACTACTACCAGACCATTACCTATTATGAAGCCTTTCTAACTGTACAATTTACTAGCATTCACTGCCTCCAAAATGCTTTCATGCTTTTTGTAATTTCTTTGTGGTGGGGGGAGGACTTGTTCGTGGTGTTCCCTCTTGAACTAGAAACAAGATGTCTATTTCATTTGATATTATTTTTAAACTGGATTGATTTATTTTGGCATATTCAACTTGGCAATTTCTTTATGTAGTTTAGCTAACATATCCTGTATTTTCTGCAGAAAGTCCAAAAAACACTGTTGCAAGCAGATGTTCAATCAAAGTCTGACAAATCTCCTGTGACGGTGGCTGATTATGGTATATTAATATAACATGCTTCCATGCTAATGTAAAGATTTCAAAAGAGAGAACAAAGATGTCATGTGCAGGGATCAGTCTGTTTCCTTAGACATTTCGTTCCATTCGCTCTATATATGTTCCACCTCCTCTCTGTCTCTCTCATGGAGCAAGATGCTTCTCATTTCTGCATTAAAGAAACTGATGTTCTGAAACAAATATACATTATTTTTGTTATCATGTTGATGGAGCCTTGCAATTTATTCTCTCTTTTTGAAAATGTCTCACATATAATTATCAGGCTCACAGGGCGTGGTTACCGTTGTTTTGCAGAAAGAGTTGGGTTCTGCTTAAAGATGTCATGTGCAGGGACCAGTTTATTTCCTTAGACATTTCGTTTCGTTTGCTCTATATATGTTGCATCTCCTCTTTGTCTCTCTCATGGAACAAGATGCTTCTCATTTCTGCATTAAAGAAACTGATGTTCTGAAACAAATATACATTATTTTTGTTATCATGTTGATGGAGCCTTGCAATTTATTCTCTCTTTTTGAAAATGTCTCACATATAATTATCAGGCTCACAGGGCGTGGTTACCGTTGTTTTGCAGAAAGAGTTGGGTTCTGCTTCATTTTCATTAGTGGCTAAGGAGGTAATGTTTGAACTCTTAGCTGTTTAGTCCATGTTGTGCCTACCTTCATTGTTTATTAATTAAGATAGCATTCAAATGAAACCTAGGAAAGAACATTTGTGCATGGGCAAATATAAAATTGACATGCAACAAATGATCATATGTATTAAAATTCAAATTCTAACATACAGTTCAAAAGACAAGCTAAAATTCTAAGTTCTTGAAAGCAATAGTTTTCCAAAGGTAGATGAGATGATAATGTTTCCAGGTCATACTGGATTTTTGGTATGACATCTGTAAAAACCAGTAACTTGCCTTTTTGTTGTGTCTTGGCATCATTAATGATTACATTTATTATATATGAAGGACTATGATCTTTTCTGACATATAAATGTACTAACAAAACAACGACTCTTTTTTTTTAAGAGTTCAAGTATGACTTTTCCTTTTAAGGTGTTTAATTTTTATTAAATCAAAGACAATTTATTTTTGTTTCAAATTTCCAGTTAACTTTTGATACAATATGTATTAATTTACTACTTATTACAGGAAAGATATGAAGAAATATTACAAGAGAAAATAGAGTCTCAGACAGATATTGATCAATCTAAAGCATATTACGAAGCCGCGGGAGGAGCAAAAAAGAAAAGAATATATGGTCTTGGATTTGAAGGAAAACATTACTATAAGTCAAATAATTTTGTCTCTGTGGATCTAATGCTTCATTATCAGTATTACCTTCGGTTTCTCAACAAGCAACAATCAATATGTCTGAGTTTGTGACACAATTGATTCCTGCACTTATTGATCACTTTCTTCCCGTAGTTCTTAAGCGGGTACATGAAGTGATTTCTTCACCACCTACTGATAATCCATCTGGTGTTACACATGTAGTTCCTCCCCTGCTAGTACTAATGTTGAGGAGGATGATCTTTTAGTTTCAGATGCTGATCATAGCCTTGACCAAGCTTGCATTAGATTTTGATATTGTCTATTTTTGTAAGTACAAATTGTGTTCCATAATATTTGGTGGATGTTGGTCCATTTGATTTAAAAATTGTTGATAGACACTTGTATTTATGGATGTTTTGGATATAATTATGTTGTCAGATTCGATAAGTATTATTCTATACGAATGTTGGTTATTTTATGGGTATTTAATTTAATATTTTTCAATAAGGTATATTTAAAATTTAAAAAAATATATTTACAAGAAAATTGTTAGTGACGATTTAAATTGTAGTTATAGAGAAACTTTGGCGACAGATTAGCGACAAACCATATTATCGCAAAATTATTCAAAAAAAATGTTGCGATGGAATACGACAAACAATTTTGTTTTGTCGCAAAGTTATTCAAACGAAGAAATTAAATTATAAAAATAGCAACGACAGTATAAACATAGCAATGCATAATTTGTCGCTACTAAAATAACAACGGATATGGTTTGTCGTCTAGACATCGCTAAATCAGCAACCAAATTAATTTGTTTCGTCGCTGAGAGGCTAGCAACGAGCAAAATAGTAACGATATTTCGTCGCTAATACAATTTAGCAACAAATATATGTATGTTAGCGACGGATTTCGTGCGTCGCTAAACGCTGTTTTTTTTGTAGTGATTGTTGACTTGTTGTCAACCTTAATAACAATAGCTTCAATGTCATTTTGCTCCAAATCACGTAGAATCTTTCTTAACCATAGAGCCTGATCAGTTGCACCAGCAGCGGCGATGTATTCTGCTTTTGCAGAAGATTGAGCTACCACCTCTTGCTTATTTGAATTCCATGAGAACATGCCTGAACCAAGTGTAAAAGCATATCCATAAGTGCTTTTCATATCATCAACGCTTCCTGCCCAATCACTATCTGAATAACCCATTAGTTTCCCTTGCTCTTCCTTTTTAAACCAAATACCATAATCAGCAGTTCCTTTGATATATCTCAACGTTCGTTTAGCAACACCAAGATGAACTTGACTTGGAGCTTGCATAAACCTCGACAGTAGACTTGCCGCGAACATGAGATCGGGTCTTGTTGCTGTCAAATACAACAAACTACCAATCAGACTCATATAAACTGTTGGATCAGCCCTTTCATCTCCTTCAAACTTTGAAATCTTTTCATTGTGAACCAGAGGGGTCGGTACAGGCTTGCACCTCTCCATCTTGAACCTTTTAAGAACATCCCATGCATATTTTCTCTGAAAAATGAAGATTCCATCAGTAGCTTGATAAATCTCCATTCCCAGAAAATAACTCAATTCACCCAAATTTGACATTTCAAACTTGGTCTCCATTTCCCGTATGAACTGATTCACCATAGCTTCATTGCTTCATGTTACCAGAAGATCATCAACATAGAGTTACACCACAAACACATCTCCTCCTTTAGCCTTATTCACATATAAAGTGGTTTCATTTTCACTTCTCTTGAAGCCACAATGAATGAGATGATCATCAATCTTACTGTACCATGCTCGAGGAGCCATCTTTAATCCATACAATGCTTTATGAAGTCGGTAGACTTTATCCTCCATTCCTGCAACTTGAAAGCCTTCTGGTTGATCAACTTAGACCTCCTCCCGCAACAGTCCATTTAAGAATGTCGATTTCACATCCAAATGATACAGCTTCCAATTTGACTGAGCTTCCAAAGCAAATAGCAGCCTTATTGTATCATGTCGTGCAACAGGTGCAAACGTGTCTCCATAATCCAGACCTGCAACTTGCACGTAACCTTTCACAACAAGCCTTGCTTTGTATTTATAAACTGAGCTATCTAGATTAAGTTTGGTTCTATAAACCCACTTCACCCCGATCGCATTTTTGTTTCTGGGTTTATCAATCAACTTCCAAGTATCATTCTTTTCTATCATACCAATCTCCTCCTTCATAGCTTCAATCCAAACTTCATGTCTTGATGCTTCTTGATAGCTATTTGGTTCTGAGATTGCAACATTACATCTTTCATATATCTCGGAAAGGGACCTTGTCTTCAAAATTGGTGAATCAAGTGAGGATTTCCCGTCTGATTCTTCGTCTTCTTCTAGAGTTTCAGACCCAAATGATTGGATTTCAGGCAGCGGACTCAAGTTCTGAAAAACTGCATTATCTTTCTCAATTTTCTCCTTATCCCAGTTCCAATAAACATGCTCATCCACGACTACATCTCTTCGGATTGAAATACTTTTTGTTTGCAAGTTAAAAACTCTATAACCCTTGGCTTGTGATGAATAACCAATAAAGATTCCCAATTCACCTTTTGGTTCAAGTTTGCTTCTTTTGACAAAAGGAATATGAGAATAGCATATCGAACCAAAACTTTTAGTTGCTTTGAAGATGGCTGTATTCCACTCCATGTCTCAATAGGAGTCTTTTCATCCACAACTTTTGTTGGCAGCCTATTTAACAAATACACTGAAGTATGAATAGCTTCTGCCCAAAAACTTTGTGGCAATTTCTTTTCCAGCAACAAACATCTAGCCATTTCAACTATTGTTCTGTTCTTCCTCTCCGAGACTCCATTTTGTTCGGGTGAATAACTTACTGTCAACTTGTGATCAATCCCCATATCTTCAAAATACTTATTGAACTCATTTGAAGTGTATTCACTATCATTGTCCGACCTCAAAACCTTTAGCTTACAACCACTCTATCTTTTCGCAAAAGCTCTAAATTTCTTGAAAACTGAAAAAATACTTGAGACTTGTTACTCAGAAAGTACACCCAAGTCATCCTTGTTAAGTCATAAATAAAGAGCACACCATATTTATTGTGTCCTAAAGATGATGTCTGCATAGGTCCACACACATCAGTGTGAACTAGTTCAAGTTTTTCAGTTGCCCTCCGGGTAGCATTTTTAGGAAATGATTTCCTGTGTACCTTACCCATCTGACATGACTCACAAACTTCTTTAGATAGTGAAATCTCAGGTAAATCCTTAGTCAAGCCTTTTTCATACATAGACTTTAAAGTGGCATAGTTAAAATGACCATATCTTTTGTTCCACAATCATGACTCATCCTTACGTGCAAAATTTGCACTATCAAACCTCACATCTAAAGGAAAAGTTTTATACACCATTTCTACTTTAACAATCAAACTATCTTCAGAGTCAAGGATCAACCAATGTTTGCCCTTAAAAAATAAGGAATAGCCTTTAGACATCATTTGAGCCACAATTAACAAGTTACATGCTAAACAAGAAAAATACAACACATCATGTATTAACTTTGTACCTTGTGTAGTCTGAAAGGAAACTAAACCCTTTCCATGTGCATCAACCATTTCACCATTTCCCATCCTAACTTTAGCTTTGAATGACTTGTCAAGTGTGTGAAACAAGAGCTCATTGTGTGACATATGACTCGTACATCCACTATATATAAATCATGAGGATTTGTTGGCTGTGTTTTCTACATGAGAAGCCATAAACAAGCTTTCTTCTTCATTTTTGGACTTTTCAACAAAATTTGCCTGCCGCACATGATTTTGTTGTGGTTGATTCTGCCTGGCCTGTAATTTTTCTCAATATGACCCATCTTTCTACAGAATCTACACTGAATCGATGGCTTTCCTTTGAACCAACAGTCTTTTTCTTGATGATTGGTTCTTTTACAGTGGCTGCAAGGTGGAAACTTCCCTTTTTTAAAGATTCCTTCCATGGTTTTCCCTTTGCTACTTTATGTCCTTCCATTATTCTATTGTCCTTCATAGGATGTTTGCCTTTATGTTGTGCTTGAAATGCCACTTCTGCTACTTCTTCATCTTTTATACTTGATCTTTGTTCTTGTGCTTGCAACTTGCTGATCAGTTTCGCCACAAATAAAGTCTTCAAATCACAAGATTCTTTGCTGAAATCTTAGACTCGAACCTTGTTGGTAAGCTTATCATCATCTTCTCCACCACCTTTGAATTTGGAAAGGTTTCACTAAACAATCTTATTTTGCTAACAATCTCGACAAGTTTGGCAGAATACTCTTTCACAGTATCTCCTTCTTTCATCCTTAACATCTCAAATTCTCTTTTGAGAGTTAAGAATTTGATTATCTTCACTCTGTCACTTCCGTCAAACTCCTCTTTTAGCTTCTCCCATGCGTCTTCAGGTGTTTCACAAGCCATTATTCCTGTGAAAATCACATCTGAAAGTGTTGAATGAAGACATGTGAGAGCCTTTGGTTTCCTTGACTTCGCATCTTTATAAATCTTCATTTGTGCAACTGTTGGATTTGGTCCAAGTGGAAGAGGTTTATCTTCATTTTCAATTGTTTCCCATAGACTAAGAGCTTTGAGATAAGCCTTCATCTTTATCACCAATATGTGATAATTTTCTCCTGTAAACATAGGAGGTCCTGCACCCAAGAAGTCGTTGGATGCCATGTTACTGCTGCTCAGCTCTCACCTTAGAAGGAGAAAAAACCTTAGCCTTCTTGCCTCCACAGATCCCTCAAGAATAAGGGCTCTGATACCGCTGTTAGTATTAGAAACTAGAAAGAAGAAAGGATAAGGTTCAACAACAGTTCTTTTTCATTCATTATCATATTTCAAAAGGCATACACATATATATCTACACAAGCTTTTCCAAAGTAAGTAGAGGACCATACATATCCAACCACTATTGATTTTCTTACAAAACATAATCAATAAAACAAGGACTACCTTTTCTTTACATACTAAACATAATATTTAAAAAGAACCATTAAACAAAAACCATCTAGAAATATCTCATTTTCTAACAAAGAAGTACAACCAACATTTTACTAGTTAGAAAGCATTTTGTTCATTTTTAATGTGGTTCAAAAATCAACTCAAACCCCTACTCGGGCATCTCCACGTCAAATATAAAGAAAAGTCACACAATCCCTCTCTCGTGCAATCACTCAAATATCACAAAATTTCCTCAACAATTATAGATATCACACAAGCCTGGCCACAGGCTAAGCAACACAAATAGGCATCATAGGGATTAAATAAGAAGATCAACACTTACTAGCCTCTAAAATACATACTACAACTCATTTCCCAGTTGATTTCCTAAGAACATGATAATTACTCATCTCAGTCTAAAAGAGGGATAGCCAAACCTACCTCAAGGCCGAAACTTCATATGAACAACTCTATCGAAGTGAATCCTCAATCACATTCTAATCGGAACGATCCTCAACTATTAAGAATGGAAAATTTTCATCAAAAGGAGTCCAATAATATCCATATTGATAAGATTTGAAATCGGGGATAAAGTAGTCCAAAAATCACTTCGAAATCAAAAGGGTAAATCATATTTTTAGTTGAAAATCAAGTTGTACAAATCAAGAGGAGTTCGTAGTTAAAAACCCCATTAAAACAAGTAAGAATCGAGCTACAGATCAACAAATTACTCATTTATTCAATTTGGGAAAAAATGCCCTAAAATCCACATTTGAAATCTTGATTTTTAAGTGTTTTGGAAGATGAAATTCGAAGAAAATGATATAAAATTGATAGAGGACTTACCACACAAGTTTTTCTCAAGAAAATGTTTTTTAAGTCTCACTCACAAGCTCCCAATATGAAAACAATGAAGAAGAAAGTGAAACGGAAGAAAGAGGTAGCCATTATAATTGATTGTTTGACCGCGCATTGACCGTTCATTGACATCAACAAAATTAATTCTCTAACTTATTAAAGTCTCCGACCGGACCCTCGAGATTCAATAAAAATAAACTAAATATGTTACTCCACGAAATTCGACATTCCTGACTCAATAAAATCGTCAAATTTTTGAAAAAACATAGTTTTGACAGAAATACCCTCTTGAACCTCTCTTTAGGCCTAAAGCTAAACTTCTTGCCTAAACAACCAACTCTTAACCTAAGGCCTCGAAAACCTTACCAACCACTCTACTAGCTCAAACTCGACGTTTCGGACGCGATGAAACTGACGAGATTTCCATCCGACGTCCGAAACTCAAAATGTTGACTGAAGTCAACCCTATCAAGAATTCTCAAGGGGTCAAATCACTAAAACACACACAATCGCATCGAGGACCACACGAACTATTTCTGAAACACAAACTAAGCATGAAAATGCTATGAAGAAGAACAAAATGGTCATTTTACAATTAAAAGCAAAATCACAAGAAATGAGACATCACATTATCCACCACTTTAACATGCGTTCTTCTCCGAACGTAAAGCAAAATAAGATACCTGGAGGGGTGTAAAGCTGAGGGTATCTACGACACATGTTAGACTCCACCTTCCCCGTCGCGTTCTCAACAGGTCGGTGTCTCCACTGCACCTTCACTAGTCAATATGCTTTGATAGCAATCGGCTCATCCTCAAAGGAAAGATTTTGATCCAAAGGAACATAATCCCACTAAATGAGAAACATCATGACGATATCGCTTAAGCATCGAAACATGGAACACTGGGTGAATCGCTGAAAGGCTCGGAGGTAAGGTTAACCTATAGGCTACTTCTCCAAACTTCCCCAAAATCTCAAAATGTCCAATGAACTGCAAATTGAGCTTTCCTTTCTTTCCAAACCTCATCACAACTTTGGTGGGGGACACCTCAAGCAAAACTCTCTCCCCAATAGCAAAGGACACATCTCAGACACGATCTACATAGCTCTTCTACCTACTTTGTTTGGTCACAATGCGCAGCTGAATCAACTTTACTCTATTCATGGAGTCTCTCAACAAATCAGTACCCTAAGGTCGAACTCCAAATGAATCAAACCAACCAACGGGAGATCTATACCTCCTTCCATACAAAGCTTCAAACGGTGTCATCTGAATGTTGGAATGGTAATTGTTGTTATAAGAAAACTCCGCAAGAGGTAGGGATTGATCCCAATGACCACAAAAGTCCATGACACAAGTCCGAAGAATATTCTCAAGCACCTTGATAGTCCGCTCAGTTCGACCTTGGGGCACTGATTTTTTACATAAGTTCATTAACTTTATTAGTGAATAATCCTTTTATGAGTTTATTAAAAAAATCGGTTCTATTTTTATGATTATAATTTTAATACTGTATGCATTAAATATGTATTTATATTTAAGTTCTAATTATCTCTTATTCTCAATTGTCTACCTAAATAACAAGTTTTAATTGACATTATTTGATTTTTAAATTAAAATCTAGAATTTATTTACAATACAAATAGATAATCTTTAGAAAATTATTACCTCCATTAAAATATACTTATTAAATTATCAGTCTTTATTATTTTCAATTATATAAATAAATAGTAGAATTTTATTATTATTAAAAATATTAAAAATTTTGTTCTGCTTTTATTTATTTATTTTAAATATCATTGGCTTGCACACTTAATAAGTATTTTTTACTTTTCCTTTTGTCTAGGAAATAAAACTCCGACTCAATTTACTGCAGTTTAACTTAACATAAAATCAAAAAATAATTATTATTATTTATATCGGGCAACAAAAAAAAAGTAGAGCTGCTGGTCAGTTCTAATTATTTCATGGTCATATAAGATAATAAGAAGGCCAAAATCCATTTTCCAAATTTTCGATATTTATAAAAAGGCCACGTCTACAATATAGAGTCCCCTAAAGTTATAACGTGTTTAGCTCACAAAGTGCCACTTCTTATAGAAAGCCAAGTGGCTTCAATATAAACCATACTATTTAACTTTATCTCTCATTTTTTTTTTATATATATAGTACAAATTGAAAAGTTTTGTTTTGCAAGTAATAAATAATTAACCAAATTGAAAAGTTTTTGGATTTTATGGAGGCTCAACAGTACCGTGCCAATGAAAAAGATGAAGATGAATTAGTGGTGGAGGGGAATAAAATTGGATTGAAAACAGCATTAGAGGATGATCCAAATGCACCAAAACAGGACAAGTCTGCTTCTAATTATCAGACTAAAGTTACTGATCCAACAGGCGCTAGTAAGTCTTGTTTCTCCCTAACACAATTTCGATATTTAAGCGCAACACATAAATATGCTCTTTAATTCATCTTCAATTTGGATTAATTTTTGTGTCTACATAAGTAGACACATATTTAAGGTGATTTCAGCTGATATTTATACGCTTTAGAGGTGTCAATTGGACGGATTGAGTTAAATTTGGGTGGGTCATAATGGGTTAAGACAATAACTGAGTCAAAGATCTAACTCGATTCAAATTTTCTTGGGTTACGTAATGGGTTAGATAATTGGTTAATACTTAATCCAATCCTATTTTTACTAAGCTTTTAATTGTTTTAATTTGTTCTTCTAAATTATTTTAGGACTTAATATATATATTTTTTAATTATGGTTATATATAACTTATCAAATTGAATGTTTTAAAAAATATTTTGACAGGATTTCTTATGATTCAATTCGGGCATTATATATCTATCTATTTTTTAATGGATTGAAATGGGTTAAGCTCATGAATGATTGGGTCAATAATCCGCTTAATTTTAAACGGATTAGGTGGATTGAATTAAATTTGCCACTCCTACCCCTAATGTCCTTCAATCTATGTCCTTCGATTTTTTTTTTGGACGTACACAAGAAGTACTTGAACTTATATAAAATAAACGCCTAAGTTCTACCTGACGTATATCATAAATATTTTATCCTTCTAACTCATAGTTAGGCCGGTATAAACTCGGCCCGCAGGTTCACAATACTTTAGACATGAATAAATCGGGTTTTAACAATGTAAAGAAATAATCACGACACATATACGTGTATATATCAGGTAATTGATCCACTTTATTATAAGATTACAAACCACAACGGGGTCATCAATCTATTTCATTTTTTTAAAAAGGTTACAAACCGGACATGTAATTTTTTCTCTTATACTGACGATGTATATAGCTAATTGAATGAAATTAATATTAATGCGTATTTATAACAGATAGTGAGGAGGTGGGAACTACTCCGCTTGTAGAGTCATTCGAGAAAATGAGCGTAAAGGAAGAAACAAAGCCAGAGAAAGGAGCGTCAATGAAGAACTACTTGGCAGAGAAATTCAAGCCGCGAGATGAAGATAAAGCACTTTCTGAGGTCATTTCAGGTACTCATAAAATGGATGAGTTAAATTTGTGCGGGTTAAAATGGATGAATTGAGTTAAATTTGACATGTTAAAATGAGTTCGAGTTAACGAATGAAAGAGGTTATGGACTTGGCAAAAAGTTGCTTAGGCATTAAATGGATCCCCCCCCCCCCCACCCCAAAATGAGTTGTTGGTCGTATTTTTATGGACTAATTTCGTCATCTCTAATTTCAGGCAAACTTGCGGGACGGAAGGATAAAACCGAGGGTACTGAACAGGCAAAGCCAACAGAAAAAGTGAAGGAAAATTCAACGGAAAAAATGGAAAAACCGGAGGGCGTGGCGACACAAAAAGGCTCTACCGATGAACAGAGGGTGGCGCCTGCTGCTGCGGCGGCAACAACGCATGTTGAAGGTGGAGGAAAGAGTATGATAAATAGGCTTAAAGGTGTTGCTAGTTCATGGCTTCACAAAGCACCAGCAGCAGCACCACCATCACAACAGACTCCTACTAGTACTACACATGGTACTTAATTAGTTAGTTATAAATGCTTCTATATACTTTATCAAAAGTTTGTTTTATATGTTGGTTTGTCTTGTGTTTGTTTTGTTAGGTGTTTGGTTTGATCTTAAAGTGTAATGAGTTGTGTAAATAGATTATGTTTTGTTTTGAACTGAGTGGTGTTTGTTTTGTGTCGTATACCTTCTTAGTTTCTATGTTAAAACTTTTAGTTGAATTACTTCATATTATGTATGGCTCTTAGTATATGAACTTGAGGGGTCATAGGTTTATTGTTCCCAACAATTTAAGAAATTTTGATAAACAATGTGTTTTGAAATTATTGATGATACCCTGGCTGCTACTGTTCTAGTTATTCTGTCTTATGGTAAAGTAAAATACAGATATGTAAATAGACATGGTTACAAGTTCAATCTTAATAATGAAGAAACAAGTTCAATGTTAATAATAAAATCTTCATGAGAAATACACTTCAATGTAAAAGAATATTGAAATGAAATGACAATCCTGCTAAGTTAAAAATGAAATTGATTGAAATGGATAATATAATTAATTATTGCGGTCATTTCAGAAATAAATATTGAGACCAATGAAGTACATTTGTATAATTAAAGAAAATTGATTTTGTGTTATATATCCAAGTTGATGAAAAATAAGAAATTATTTATTTTGGTAATTTACGAATCTCTAAAATTCTTGGAGGGGAAAAAATTCTTCTTGAACTCACATCTGGTAAAACTTTAATATTGACTAATGTATTGCATGTTTCTGATACTTGAGGTCTCTCATATGAGACTTTGGCCTAGTTGCCGGAACGGTCATTAATATCAGTATGCATGATCTATTGACACAAAATCGTGTTGAACTGTGAAATTATTGAGGTCAAAATATGATTAATAAGTCTCTGATTTACAATAAGAATTATGGATCGAATAAGAATTATTGATCCATAGAAATATTTATTTTATCAATAATTCTATAAATTAAATTTATTGATCTAAATTCAATTTAGTGTCCAAAGACACTATACTTATTGCATTTAATCTATGCAAATCCACAACTTCAATCCTTTATGTATAAATTCTTTTGAAATATATGGGGTCGTAAGTAAATTATCTATTTCAAAAGAATAATTTTTAAAAGTGTTTTTAAAGTCTTCAAAGATGTATTAAAAAGGGTAAGAACTATTTGGTTGGCGATATTAATTAAAATAGTCTACAAATTCTAATTAATATTTGCATTACTAATCTCCACATTACTATTCTATTCACTATCAATGTTTGTACCAAACGACCCTTAAATCTTTTCTTGGAGAAGTGATAAATGAAAGGATGTGCTGGCTCTTTCTTGAAAGCTTTACTCCATGTGGCAAGTTAATGTCAAGTGTCATAGACACTTGTCTTATGATGAGCTTCTCCTTGGTAGACATTGGCTCTTTTCCTTTGTAAAATTGTATCAAAAAACTCTTTTAACATTTTTCTTTCTTGGTCTCTAACTTACTCCCCTCTCATTCTGCCTTTCTCTTTTAGTTAATTCATCATTTTGGCTTTGTTATTTTTCTTTTTCTTTAATAACTTATTAATGTTAATTAATTTGTTAATTCATGTATCACCTATTTAATTAGAGAAGACTTGTTTAATCTTAAGGAAATATTTTACATTATTGAAATAATTTTTGCACGACTCAAGTATTAATGTATTACTTAAAATATTATCATAGTAATATTCATCGAAATATTATATTTCATTAGTAATTTTATTAACTAAATTTTATCAATCTAAATTTGGTTCATAGTCCAAAAGATACCACACCTATTACATTTTTGTCCATGCAAATCCAGTAAGTTATGTTCTTCTTATGTATAAATTCTTTTGGAAGTGGGGATTGTATGTAAAATGATTTATTTCAAAATAATTTATTTTTAGTGTATTTAAGAAATTTTCAAAATGTGTTATTAAGGAGTTTTGATGATAAGAGGAAAAATATGTGTCGAGTGCACAAGTGTTTAATGACACTTGTACTAATATACTTGTCATGGTTTCACCCTTTGTCTTCTACTATATTCTTTCCTTCTGTGCTTCAGCAATAAATACAACCAAAAAATATGAGAAGTTAAAAGTAGCAAATGTACATCCTTTATCTACTTCTACTCATTCTTTCATTCTTTCTCTCTGTTCTTTGTTGTTTATTTTTATGATTTCTCCTAAATAATTTGTTGATGTTAATTAATTTGTTAATATCACAACAATAATAAAACTATTTATTCCGCAATAGTAGTATTAATAAGATGAGTATTATTACTATAATATTTTTAAGTAGTACATAATTAATATTTGAGTCGTGTTGGGCACTGTCTTAAGAAATTATTTCAATAGTGTGAAATATTTCTCCATGATTAAACAAGTCTTTTCTAATTGAATAGAGGATACAAGAATCAGAAAATTAATTAACATCAATAAGTTATTAAAGGATAATCATAAAAATAAACAACAAAGAAAAGAGATAAGGAATGTGCTACTTTAGCTTTTCATTTCTTTTGTTGTGTATATCGCTGAAGCACAAAAAAAAAATGTAGTACAAGGCAAAGGGTAAAACATAACAAATGTTAACGCAAGTGTCATTAAACACTTGTGCACTTGACACATATTTTTTCACTTGTCATCAAAGTTTCTTAATAACACATTTTGAAGACTTCTTAAACACACTTCAAAAATAATTCTTTTGAACCAAATCATTTTACTTACAATCTCCCACATATTTTTTCAAATGAATTTACACATAAAAAAATTAACTTGCTGGATTTTTACATGGATAAAATCTAATAGTTGATCCCTTGAACTAATTATTTTTATAATATTTTTATGAACCAATAATTCGTTGTAAGACAGGAATTTTATCAATCATATTTTGACCTCAGAAATTTTATTATTCGACGCAATTTTGCGCTAGAAGGCCATGCACATACCTGATTATTTATGAAAGCTCTAGAGATTAGGTCAAAGTCTCATAAGAGCGATCACACTTAACTTCTCATGTAGATGAATTCATGAAGTGTATATTGTTTTCAATACACCAGCCTTAATTAAGGACTATCAATTCATTAAGAGTTAATAACTCTTCCCTCATAATTAATAGTAGTTCAAGCACTCTCAGTTAGTGCGCAATGTCAATATTGACTTGTTATTATCCATATGATGCTCCTTCATGAGATCTCCAATCACATAGGTTGGGTTACTATCATTACTAACAATCGCATTGGCCTTAAACTCATCTCTTTTGAGGTTAGACAAATTAATTTTCTTCCCACAATTTTAATCAATTCATTGACTGAATTCAGTTTTGATTTCACATAATCAATTGCAATTACTCCATCTCTTAGCTGCTTAACGGCATAATGCCTTCCTACTTTTACTTATAAAATTTATTCTTTGTAATATCAATTGCAGCTTGACAGTCAAAGTCTATAAATATAGAAGGCAATTCATCCTTTATTAAATATTTTCTAAGAAATTTTTTAGCCACTAAGCCTCAGGACTAATGAACTCCAGAGCTACAAATTCTGACTCCACAATCGATCTAACTCATATGTTTAGCTGATTTTTAGGCTATTGCACCATCACTTAAGATAAACACATATCAACTAGTGAATTTCTTCTAATTATCTGAATCAGAGATCTAAATTGCATCACAATACCCTTCTATGTAGAAGGAGATCCACTATACATGATACTATAATTCATGATTCCTTTCAAATATTTTTCCAGTCTAATTAATGCAGATCAATGCTCTTTATTGGAATTGTGAGTATATCTATTCAGTCTACATACATCATATGTTATATCAGACCTTGTAAAATTCATTAAATGTATTAGATTCCAAATAATCTTAACATATTTAGACTGAGCACTGGGTTACCTTTGTTCTTTTTCAATTGAGAGTTAGCATCATAACGAGTGGCTACAGATGTCACCTCATATCATTCAACTTTTTCAAGAAATTTTTGCACATAATGTTCTTGTGACAACATTATATCATCTTAACTACTTATAACTTTAACTTCCAAATTCATACTTACTTCACCCGGATCTTTCATATCAAAATTAGTAGACAAAAATAATTTGGTACTTTTCATAATATTTAAACATATACCAAATATAAGCAAGTCATCAACATATAAGCATATTACCACATAATTATTATCAACCATTTAGTATAGCATATTTATCCACTTCAACCGAAGAAAAGTTGTCTCTCAATAAGACTTGATCTAATTTTTTTTGTCACTGTTTAAAACAAAAAAAATTATACAACCTCCTTTGTTGACACCCAATTTTGGACCTCCACAATATAAATTAATCACCGAGCTTCATAAATTCCAAACGATTTGAAATAATTAGTTTTTATAAAGTTCAAAATATTTTTCAAGTTACTTTTAATTAATTTTATCATTTTTTATAATTTTTAAGTAATATATATATGTTTTATATAATTAGTATATTTTATAAACATTTTGAAAAATCATCTCAAAAAGATTTTAATTTTAGTAAGTATTTTATTAAATTAGTTTAGTTTAAATTATGGTTATAATTTTGAATCATTAGTTTACAATTAAGTAAATTATTTTATTTTGTTAAGATTAAGAAGCTCGTTAATTAATTAATATTAATTCATTTTATTTTGGGTTTAGCCAAATTTGTTAATTTAACTCAATTTGGCTATTTCTTAAACTCCAAGATCTAACCCATCTTTGACCTCACCTTAAAACCTTTTGGAGACCAATTTTGAGCCTTTTTTACCTCTTTTCAGCAGTCCAAATCAATTCCCCTTCTATTTTCCACTAACCCAGGCCCACTCCCAACCTTATCAGCACCTCATTCCCACAAAAAGACCCACCCATACAATATAACAACATATAACACCAAATAGACCCATCCCCTATACGTTTTCTTCTTCTTCCTCTAGAAAAAAAAATTGAAACACGAAGAACCAGAAAACCCAGACGCATAATAGCAGCCCAGCGAGAAATCGACGAACCAATCCAGTCCAAATCGAGCAGCCTATCGCAGTGGGTCCTTCTCTGTATGCGAAGCTTCGAGAATAATCTAGGTGTCTCCATCTTGCGCCTCGATCGTCCTTCGCTCAAGATCAAGGGCTCTCATTCTCTATCCGTTGGAATTGGT